TCAGATCAACCTAGAAGACCCGATCTCAGATGGCCAGTCATTGCCAGGGTCCATCACAACAGCACATCAACAGGGCCTGGCATGCGAGGGCCTGATTGCCAGATATTGCCAGGTTGGTGACTGTGGATGACTGTGGATAACCGTGGTATGGAAATGATCTCTGCTATGTGCGGCTTGCTGTCATTGCTCAGCCTAATGATGTCAATGAGAAGAGAATCCAGCTGTAATGAGTGATGCCCCGGTCTGTGGCAGGATCAATTTTGTGCAGTTGCTAGAACTAGTCCCGCGGAATGAAGACCAATATGGGTTAAGACAAGGGGAGAAACTAACGACTAACCAGAATAGCCGGAATGGGTGTGCATGAGTTGCTGAAGCAGCACATGTGGATAAAGCAAGCAAACACAACAAATGCATGGCGGGTTAACAGAATGGCTTTGAAAACTGCAAAGCTTCCAACACTTGTGCTCTTAATGACAGTCAATGCTTCAATCAGCACTACTACAAATATTGTTGCGCATTTTGCATCATCTTGTGCATTTTCTGGTTCATCCATTTCCTGCATCAAAACTCCTGCCCAAGATCGCCCAAGTTTAGTTGCGCTGAGTTTGCGGACTTCAGCCAAGCCAGGCACCAAACACTTCAGGGCTCCAGACCTTGGGCTCAGATGAACTCAGTGGGCCCAGCCACTGAGTGCATGTAACGCCGTCAAAACATATGGGAAAATATGTCATATGGGTATCATTGGGTATCCGTATCATTCCGTATCACATTCATAAACCAAATTTATGAGTAAGTTGGGATAACTATGGAAAACATGTTTGTCAAGAGAAAGATCTCATGTGATGCCATGCTCCAAGGAGCGCCATCGACTTTAGTCCTCGATCATCTGGATGTCGCCTTCAAACAATCGGCATGTTACAAATTACAATCTTTCTTCCCGAAGTTTGTAGCTGCAAAAAACCAGTGAGAAAGTAAACCTCAGCCATAGAGTTGAGTAAACACATCATCCAAATGTCAAGAAAGACTGCTGAAGGGTGCTCATTGGTTGATAAGAGTATGATGGAACTGAAAAGTCTTAACCTATCTCAATCTTATGTTTTCTCTGTACCTGCGCGTCCTCTTTTTCATGCAATATTGATTGATCCACTCCTTTTATTACGTAGGCTGGCATTTCAGCTCACAGGGCTTTCCCGTGCTGCATGCACGTTCTTTGTATAACTTCTGTTACTTCATGCCATGTCTTATCATGTCTTATCATGGCTTATCCCGATTCCTTAGACTTTCTATCACTGTACTGACGTCACGAATCATCCCCGCAGCTACTGCACCTCAGTGCCAGCATTGCCAACTCCGCCAAACCTCAGACCCCCGGGGCACCCAGGCTATCCGATTTAATCATTTACTACTCCATTACACTTACACTGGCACATGCAGAGCACATAGCATTATTATATTATTATATATTATTATATCATTGTATAGTATTAGATCTATAGATGATATATAACAATGTGTGTGTGCGTGTGAGGTACCTAACAAATCCCGCATCAATCATAGCAATCTAATTGGCAGAAATTAGCCACTAGACTCGACATGTACTTTGCACTTGGGATTGTTGATGGCAAGCAACCCAATTGTCCAGCGAGGTCAGTGTTGCCAGAATGACGCTTCAGCAAGCACCACAAGGCCTAAGTGGCTGCCGGAGAAGGATCCTCAAAATTCTGCTTTCCCACCAGAATGAAGTCCGTCATCCTTCAAACTCCAAGGCACTTCCAATTCTTGGGGTCACCGAAAACTCAAACAAAAGGCGGAAAAACGTGTTTTTCAGCGATGTTACGATGTTCAAGAAGGCTTTCGCCCTGTCTTTTCGCATTACCCAGTTCTCAACACGTTCTCCCTAGGCCCGTGGCGGCCAATGCCGCCGTCAGAACCTCAGGGCAAAGTTGGTTCACTGCAACTACAGTATATACGAATATATAATAATATATATATATTCCATTATATTCCGACCATGGTAAATCCCCACCGAATATATTTGTAACCATTCTTGTCGCCGAGCTGCCGTCAACCAGCTCTGGTTTCTATTCAAACCAGCTGAGGAAAGAACCACTGGACGCGTTTGATGCTGCTGCAAAGCAACTTTGACCTTGCATAGGTTGAAGATGGTTGAAGTGTTGGGACATGGGACCCACATCCAGCAAATCAAGAAAGGCCAGGGAGTCCTGAAAGAAATGATGCCCCTGTTTGCCGGCAGCCAGCAAATTTCACGTCCAAACAGGATGGATACAAATCCAAAGCCCTTTGAAGCAGTACTAGCCATGCTCAAAAACATGTGCACTCCGTGCTCTGCACCCCGTATGGCCAACTGAGCTTTCCAGGGCTGAATCCTACCCCAAGCTGAAGCTCAGACCCGTTGGAGTCCATCTGCCTGCACAATGGCTGCCTGACGGATGGGGCTGGACCCTTCATCGATACCCGTGGCAGCTGCATTGGCTGAGCTGACTGTGGCATACCGCGACAGGCCTGGTTGTTGGGGTTGTTTGCGGCGAGATTTCCCAGAGCACCGAAAGCCATTGTCTGCAGGCGAGCCTTTGCAGGAACCATCAGGAACCGAGAAACCACAGAATGTGTCAAATCCTGATGCGATGATGCTGACGGATTTGTCTTGCTTGGCTCGTTGCATGCTTGGAAAATCTCGTCATCGCATCAACAATGACCTCGTCAGAAAATACAAGTAGCAAAAAGAGGGTTGAAGCTACACCCAAGAAGTTATGCTCGAGCAGTTTGAATCCAGGGATCCAGATCCACCTGAAACATCTCACCCTAAGGATTGGACTTCAATGCTTCGACAGGCCATGATTGATGACCTCAGCTTCATACTCATCGGGCAAGCTGGCTCCATTCATCACTAGTTTGAAGCAGGCATGTTCATAAACTGATGTAGAAGTTTCCATTTTATGATCTAATGATCTCTCATGCGCGAGCAGCTATGCAAAAAACACCATGAAAGTATATAGCATCATGCATCTCAAATTGTCAGACTTCTGACCAATTGTTTGCGAGGCTTGAGAGCTCTGCTGGTTTAGTGGATGGTTCGCAGCCAAACCTGCGATGCGGGTACTCAACAGCCCTTGTGAACAGTTTGGTTTCGCCATGCTTAGCGCGGCCTGCCAACGCACCGCAACCTGAAGCCAAAAGCCTCACACAAAATCAAGGCCAAACAAAGGATGTCAAAGGATGTCAAAGCGGGTTGGGGATGGTTGGGGATCATTGGGGATGGTTCGGGAGTTATGTTAGCGTGTTGGTTGTTGTGATATCTGTTGATCCGATGCTCAATGTTTGTTCTTTGTTTTCTTGGTTTGCGTATGTGTGTGTGTGTGTGACCGGGAAAAAATTGATGCTAGCTTACCATGTTTACAAACTCTTTATGAAAGTTTTGATGCTAGTTACTCATGTTTCCAGCTTCCTAGTCCATCCTACCAATGTTCGATCACTCTGATTTGTGTAAGGCCCAATATTTATGCCTGCCGTTTAGTTCACCAGTAGCCATCGATAGAAGTGTTAGATTGATGAATGCAGGCAATACTATTCATGAATTCCTCCAAGATCTGTCAAGTAATGGTTGTGGTGGGTGGTTACGTCATTGATGTGGCATCTCAATCAGAGAACCAAATGTGCAGGAAGTCATAGAGACAACTGGGGATCTCTTGGGAGATCTTGGGATTTGACATTTAGGATTCGTGGAATTTAGTGGATACACTTAGGATATTCTGGCTTCAGCATCAGCTGAGACTGGCACTCAGAGTCACCTTCAAATCTTCGCATTGCCTTCCATCATCAGCATCCAGCTAGCATCATGACAGCAATACATGTGCATGTATATATACGTATGATTAATCATTGCTGTGTGTATACGTATAGATATTGCCGTGCATTGAATCTGACTTGGATCTGGCCTCAATGGGACCTCATGCATGTGGACCTAATGGACTCGCAAACATCTGCATACTGGGGCATGTACCCCCACGACTTCCTCCACTGCACCGTTGGTTGCTGCTGCCTCGGCGCATCTGATTGAAACCCAGCTACCAAGGCGCTAAATATGGGTATCTAATGGTATCTAGATGTATCCAGCATAGCTCAAACACTAGCTCAAACATTGGGACCGTCAATTCAACCATCAAATGTTGATCGATTTTATTGGGGGTTGCCATTCCTCATAAGGATAAATGACCGTACTATAGGGCCCCATACATCTCTACAATATTGTTGAAAATGATCCCTCAGTGATTGTGCAATTTGCAAATGAACCTCATCTGCCTGGTGTTCTTATGCGTTCCCTAGCCATGCCCACGTCCAAAGAGGTTCTGATCACTTGGAGCACAGACTGCTTGCAGCTCCGCCCAGCCAGCTGTTCCACTCATCGCCGCAGCTCCTGCCTACAGCACGGTGCGGCCAATGACTTGTAAGAAATTGTTGAATGATGGTTCAATATGGTTCAATATGGTTCAATATGGTTCAATATGGTTCAATGCTTCATTAATTTTCTTTCCAATCCCATTTAACCTGTGCCATCCTCCACCATTTCATGTTCCCCCAAGGGAAAGGATCTTTGGTGTCAGACCTGCCTCCTGCACAGCTGCGTTGCTGTTGTGCCGTCGCATGGCGGCAGTGATGGCCTGTTTCAAGCGCTCGGGTCCGGCAAAGACTGCCCGGATGAGTTTTGATTTGGATGATGCAACATCAAACACAGGTTGATGCAACAAAGCAAGGTTGTAAATGCAAGGCTTGCGACATTTCTCTCATCAGATATTAATATCATTTGACCATTGACTTCTTACGTCCAGACCTCCATTGCAGCACAGCATTGCTGTGTGGAGAGCCGCTGCTGGCAATGGGAGAGCCAGTTGCTGAGCCTGGTCAGAAGATCGTCTCGACATTCCCAGTTCTCGGAAGTGGATTAAATTAATTAGCAGTTCTATGCAGTTCCCTTATTTTTTCCTCCACAACAGCAGCAGAACTCGGCCATGAGGTCAGAACTGTGCACTAGCTGCTGCCGCAGCTTTGGCGGCGGTTGCAGCGGAGGTACCACCACGATATACCGCAATGGGCCATTGACAGTGGCAGCCATTGATAAAGGGCCATTCATCCTGGGCCCCACTGGTGATGGTCTTTGCCGACTCAAACATACAACTGCGTAGGCGTTCAGGTGCAGGATTTCATGGAGCTTGGAGGTCGTGCCAAGATTTAGGATCCCAACATCGTGGCCAAGACGATGTAGCCCAAAGAGCTCAGACTGACTCCAAGGAAAGAGTTGAAGAAGAACAAATTGCCCTCACCTTAAGGGTGTCCAACCAGCAATGCCATGTGGTTTCAGGCCATCGTTTCAATCCATCTCCAAACTCCAAACACATTTAGTTACGTTCTGCTTCAAAGAAATATAACATAACTTATATAACTACAGAGAGTGTGCTTTGGCCTGCCTTGCTGCCGCGGGGCCGATACATTTGTTCATCCAGGGACAATGATGATCCCAGCCAATGATGCCTGAGATGACAAGACTTGATGACGCAAACGAAATGTGGTCAGAACGAACTATATAGGTTGCCATCGCAATGTCAGCGTAAACATGCAATATGATTTCTCTATATTTGTCTTCCATTCGCTTTGGCGGCTCGGAACTTTATAACACAAGAAGGATTTATATTATATAATATAAAACCAACATGACCATCTATCTCACAGTTGCAAACATGGCAATAGTCGCAATGCAGAACACCAGCTGGTTGCTTCAGGTCGCAAGCCTCAAAACGCACAGAGAAAAATTACATGACAGGACATGACATGGGGAAGGAATGCTAGCTGATACTAGCTGAGTGTATCCAGACCCATAATATCTGCTTCGTGCGGCCCAAAACTAAGTTGAATGGCTGTGATCCAAGGCACATTGCAATGCCTCTTGCCGTTGGATGCGAAAAACTGCTCTGGATGCCCTGAACCTGCGCTATCAAGAGCAAACTTGAACCCATTTGGAACCGAACGACACGACAACGGAAACTGCTGTAATGTTGGATCCTGATTAGTGTGGGGATACTGAATTGTGTCCACAGACCTCAAAATTATTCTGAAACTTTGGAAATGATCGAGGGTACAGTTTTGTGTCCACAGGATTTTGGTGTAAGTTTTTTTTTCATTTTTTTCATTTTTTTAGTTTTTAATTGTTTTTTATTTTATTTTAAAATTTTAAAATATTTTTTATTTTTATTTTTAATTATAATAATTTTTAATTTAATTATTTTTTATTTTATTTTAAATTGTTTTTTATTTTTATTTTCATTTTTAATTAACTAATTATAACAATTTTTAATTTAATTATTTTATTTTATTTTAAATTATTTTTTATTTTTAATTATAAAAATGTTTAATTTAATTATTTTTATTTTTAATTATATTGTTTTTATTATTTTGTAAAATTGTGTCAGGATACACAATTGTGTCATTGTGTCAGGATACACAATTGTGTCTTGGTCTTTTTTTGTTGTTCAAACATTTTTCATTTTTTTCATTTTTTAAAGCTTTTTCCTTTTACTTTTTATTTTCCATCATTGAAATTTTCCAGATGCCTTCCACAGAAAATTACATCCAGGTACAAAATAGTGTGGTTTGTTTGGAGGGTACGCTATTGTGTCCAGCTGCTTTCCTGAGGTCATGATTTTTTGATTTTTTTCAATCATTTCCTTTACCTTTTCCTTTGCTAGCTAAAGTGTTTTCCTTTCAATCAATTTCTTTCTTAGTTTCTTTCATTTGAAATTCTCAGAAATGACCAGTTTCCCAAAATATATGATGCCTTATTAAAACCCAATTAAGAAACATCACTCAAACAATTTTTCAAGGGGGTAGTCCATGAGCAACCCTGATACAGAATAGTGTGGTTTGTTTGGAGGGTACACTATTGTGTCCAGCTGCTTCCTGAGGTCATGATTTTTTTGTTTTTTTCAATCATTTCCTTTACCTTTTCCTTTGCTAGCTAAAGTGTTTTCCTTTTAATTAATTCCTTTCTTAATTTCTTTCATTTGAAATTCTCAGAAATGACCAGTTTCCCAAAATATATGATGCCTTATTAAAACCCAATTAAAAAACATCACTCAAACAATTTTTCAAGGGGGTAGTCCATGAGCAACCCTGATACAGAATAGTATGGTTTGTTTGGAGGGTACACTATTGTGTCCAGCTGCTTTCCTGAGGTCATGATTTTTTTGTTTTTTTTCAATCATTTCCTTTACCTTTTCCTTTGCTAGCTAAAGTGTTTTCCTTTCAATCAATTTCTTTCTTATTTTCTTTCATTTGAAATTCTCAGAAATGACCAGTTTCCCAAAATATATGATGCCTTATTAAAACCCAATTAAAAAACATCACTCAAACAATTTTTCAAGGGGGTAGTCCATGAGCAACCCTGATACAGAATAGTGTGGTTTGTTTGGAGGGTACACTATTGTGTCCAGCTGCTTCCTGGGGTCATGATTTTTTTGTTTTTTTCAATCATTTCCTTTACCTTTTCCTTTGCTAGCTAAAGTGTTTTCCTTTTAATTAATTCCTTTCTTAGTTTCTTTCATTTGAAATTCTCAGAAATGACCAGTTTCCCAAAATATATGATGCCTCATTAAAACCCAATTAAAAAACATCACTCAAACAATTTTTCAAGGGGGTAGTCCATGAGCAACCCTGATACAGAATAGTGTGGTTTGTTTGGAGGGTACACTATTGTGTCCAGCTGCTTCCTGAGGTCATGATTTTTTTGTTTTTTCAATCATTTCCTTTACCTTTTCCTTTGCTAAAGTCTTTTTTCTTTTAATTGCTTAATTACTTTCTTAGTTTCTTTCATTTGAAATTCTCAGAAATGACCAGTTTCCCAAAATATATGATGCCTTATTAAAACTCAATCAAAAAACATCACTCAAACAATTTTTCAAGGGGGTAGTCCATGAGCAACACTGATACACAATAGTGTGGCTTGTTTGGAGGGCACACTATTGTGTCCAGCTGCTTCCTGAGGTTATGTTTTTTTTCAACCATTTCCTTTTCCTTTTCCTTTGCTAAAGTTTTTTTCTTTTATGGTATTTCTATGGTATTACTATTGGATTTCTATGGAATTCCTATGAGGTCTCCATGATGTTTCTATGATATTTCTGGAGGATTTCTATGGTATTTCTGAAGGGGTGCTATGGGAGTTCTATGGTATTCTTATGGGATTTCCATTGGATTCCTATGGGATTTTTATGGTATTTCTATGATCTTTCCTATGGAATTTCTATTGGATTCCTGTGGGTTTTCCAAGGTATTTCCATGATGTTTCTATGATCTTTCTATGGGATTTCTGTGAGATTCCTATGGGATTTCCATGTTATTTCAGTTATTTCTATGATCTTTCTATGGGATTTCTGTGAGATTCCTATGGGATTTCCATGTTATTCCTATGATCTTTCTATGGGATTTCTGTGAGATTCCTATGGGATTTCCATGTTATTTCTATGATCTTTCTATGGGATTTCTGTGAGATTCTTATGGAATTTCCATGTTATTTCTATGATCTTTCTATGGGATTTCTGTGAGATTCCTATGGGATTTCCATGTTATTTCTATTATCTTTCTATGGGATTTCTGTGAGGTTCCTATGGGATTTCCATGTTATTTCTATGATCTTTCTATGGGATTTCTGTGAGATTCCTATGGGATTTCCATGTTATTTCTATGAGAGATTCCTATGGGATTTCCATGTTATTTCTATGATCTTTCTATGGGAGTTCTGTGAGATTCTTATGGGATTTCCATGTTATTTCTATGATCTTTCTATGGGATTTCTGTGAGATTCTTATGGGATTTCCATGTTATTTCTATGATCTTTCTATGGGATTTCTGTGAGATTCCTATGGGATTTCCATGGTATTTCTATGATCTTTCTATGGGATTTCTGTGAGATTCCTATGGGATTTCCATGTTATTTCTATGATCTTTCTATGGGATTTCTGTGAGATTCCTATGGGATTTCCATGTTATTTCTATGATCTTTCTATGGGATTTCTGTGAGATTCCTATGGGATTTCCATGTTATTTCTATGATCTTTCCATGGGATTTCTGTGAGATTCTTATGGGATTTCCATGTTATTTCTATGATCTTTCTGTGGGATTTCTGTGAGATTCTTATGGGATTTCCATGTTATTTCTGTTCTTTCTATGATCTTTCTATGGGATTTCTGTGAGATTCTTATGGGATTTCCATGTTATTTCTATGATCTTTCTATGGGATTTCTGTGAGATTCCTATGGGATTTCCATGTTATTTCTATGATCTTTCTATGGGAGTTCTGTGAGATTCTTATGGGATTTCCATTTTATTTCTATGATCTTTCTATGGGATTTCTGTGAGATTCCTATGGGATTTCCATGCTATTTCTATGATCTTTCCATGGGATTTCTGTGAGATTCTTATGGGATTTCCATGTTATTTCTATGATCTTTCTATGGGATTTTTGTGAGATTCCTATGGGATTTCCATGTTATTTCAGTTATTTCTATGATCTTTCTATGGGATTTCTGTGAGATTCTTATGGGATTTCCATGTTATTTCTATGATCTTTCTATGGGATTTCTGTGAGATTCCTATGGGATTTCCATGTTATTTCTGTTATTTCTATGATCTTTCTATGGGATTTCTGTGAGATTCCTATGGGATTTCCATGTTATTTCTATGATCTTTCTATGGGATTTCTGTGAGATTCCTATGGGATTTCCACGTTATTTCTATGATCTTTCTATGGGATTTCTGTGAGATTCCTATGGGATTTCCATGTTATTTCTATGATCTTTCTATGGGATTTCTGTGAGATTCTTATGGGATTTCCATGTTATTTCTATGATCTTTCTATGGGATTTCTGTGAGATTCCTATGGGGTGTCCATGTTATTTCTATGATCTTTCTATGGGATTTCTGTGAGATTCTTATGGGATTTCCATGTTATTTCTATGATCTTTCTATGGGATTTCTGTGAGATTCCTATGGGATTTCCATGTTATTTCTATGATCTTTCTATGGGGTTTCTGTGAGATTCCTATGGGATTTCCATGTTATTTCTATGATCTTTCTATGGGATTTCCATTCCCTTTACATTTTCCTTTGCTAAAGTTTTTTTTTTTATTTTCTCAGTTAATTTCTTTTATTTATAATTCTCAGAAATGCTCAATTTCCCAAAATATATGATGCCTTTTTAAAACCCAATTAAAAAACATCAATCAAACAATTTTTCAAGGGGGTAGTCCATGAGCAACCCTGATACAGAATAGTGTGGTTTGTTTGAGGGTACACTATTGTGTCCAGCTGCTTCCTGAGGTTATGTTTTTTTTCAACCTTTTCCTTTTCCTTTTCCTTTGCTAAAGTTTGTTTCCTTTTACTTAGCTTCATTTTTCTTGGAATCAAAACCAAAGGCTTTCCAAAGGATTAGTTTCAGCCAAGCAAAAAAAAAAACATGAATGATCATGATACACAATAGTATGGTTTGTTTGAGGGTACACTATTGTGTCCAGCTGCTTCCTGAGGTGATTTTGTTTTTTAACATTCCCTTTACATTTTCCTTTGCTAAAGTTTTTTTTTATTTTCTCAATTAGTTTCTTTTATTTAGAATTCTCAGAAATGCTGAATTTCCCAAAATATATAATGCCTTATTAAAACCCAATTAAAAAACATCACTCAAACAATTTTTCAAGGGGGTAGTCCATGAGCAACCCTGATACACAATAGTATGGTTTGTTTGGGGGTACACTATTGTGTCCAGCTGCTTCCTGAGGTGATTGTTTTTTTTTCTTTTACTTGAAAGTAAATTGAAATCAATTGCAAGTAAATTGAAATCAATTGAAAGTAACTTGAAATGAATTGAAAGTAACTTGAATTCAATTGAAAATAAATTGAATTCAATTGAAAGTAAATTGAAATCAATTGAAAGTAAATTGAAATCAAATGAAAGTAAATTGAAATCAATTGAAAGTAACTTCAAATCAATTGAAAGTAACTTCAAATCAATTGAAAGTAACTTGAAATCAATTCAAAATCAATTGAAAGTAAATTGAAATCAATTCAAAATCAATTCAAATCAATTGAAAGTAAATTGAAATCAATTCAAAATAAATTCAAATCAATTGAAAGTAAATTGAAATCAATTCAAAATCAATTCAAATCAATTGAAAGTAAATTGAAATCAATTCAAAATAAATTCAAATCAATTGAAAGTAAATTGAAATCAATTGAAAGTAATTTCAAATCAATTGAAAGTAAATTGAAATCAATTCAAAATCAATTCAAATCAATTGAAAGTAAATTGAAATCAATTCAAAATCAATTCAAATCAATTGAAAGTAAATTGAAATCAATTTAAATCTATCATTTTTTTTGATTTTACCGTATTCTGTACCCGGTACCTTGTTTTTTCCACACTATTCTGTAACGCAAATTTGTTTGGGGGGGGGGGCCTCCCCACACTAATCAGGAACCAACATTATAGTCAATGGCCATTTCAGGATCCTAGATTGGAGGTACCTACCATATATAAGGCCTATGTAAGGCCTATGTAAGGGAATATCCCCACAAAATATGGCCTTATATGGTACAGTACCTCCATTTTAGGATCCTGGAATTCCCATTGATATAGACTTAGACTGTATAGAGGATTCTAGGCACTTGATGGATACCGAAAAATCATGAAAAATCATCAATTGCCAGTGGCATATCAAGAACAAAGAAGGAGTCAAGCTAATCACTAATCTAGCTGTTGGCTACCTCGTACTGGTTACCGGTCCGAGACTCATTTAAGCCGACTTTTTTACTCATTATAAGCCGACATTTTGTACGTTGACTTCAGAGTTAACTCCATGGGGTACAGACCTTTAGGTTAACACTTGGGGACACTTGGGGTGGGTTTAGGGGACACTTGGGGACACTTGGGGTGGGAGTAGGGGACACTTGGGGACACTTGGGGTGGGCTTAGGGAACCAACTCCAAGGGATACAACCCTTTAGGTTAACACTTGGGGACACTTGGGGTGGGTTTAGGGGACACTTGGGGACACTTGGGGTGGGTTTAGGGGACACTTGGGGACACTTGGGGTAGGCCTAGGGAACCAACTCCAAGGGATACAGCCCTTTAGCTTAACACTTGCGGACGCTTAGGGGACACTTGGGGACACTTGGGGTGGGTTTAGGGGACACTTGGGGACACTTGGGGTGGGCTTAGGGGACACTTGTTCAAACTACCAACACTTCTTCAAGTCCCTTGAATGATGTTCTTGCTATTTTGCAACATCTTCGTCAAGTAGCTTGCAATACATTCCTGATACGTTGCAACATCTATCTTCCTACTTGTAAGTAAATTGCACGACCTTCCTGATACATGTGTCACCTCGTCTTACAGTAACTTGCCAGACGGTACTGATACGTTGAAGCAACTTCTTCAAGTGAGTTCAAACATGTTCCTGATACATTGCGACATATTCCTGATACGTTGAAACATCTTCTGAAAAGTGACATGCAATTCATATGATCGAATCAAAGTGTCCTGCTCATCATCTCTGTCACACCTGTTGCAGTCATATTCAAAGACTTCTCTGTCACTTTCTATTGGTGCTGCCATCATATTTCACGAACGTAGGCGTAAGCGAGTAAAAACGTAGGCTTAAGCGAGGTACTGACCCTGGTTACCCATTTGTCAATGCCCAGCATAAAGATACATAAAGATATATAAAGATACATAAAGATATATAAAGATATATTTAAGATATATAAAGATGTAAGATATACCATCCGAACCCAAATTCTACAAAATTGCTGTACTTTGGTGGAAAGATCGTCTTTTGAGCACATTTCATAAAAAGTTCGTCTTTTCTTGAATACTGCTGAAACTTCATGTTTCATGGTTTCATGGATGTCCACAACATTTTTATGGTATGTTGATATACTTGGCCCAATCTTGGAAATAGATGATTTCCAAAAGTTCGACTTTTTTGGGAAAAGATCGTCTTTTCCAAGGTGTTTGCGATTTCAAGGGTCTTGGGATCCCATGGTATAAGATGGTATAAGTAGACAATAAGTAGACAATCACTGGGCTGACGCAATGCCCCAACATCTTATATTTCTCAGTCCTGACTCCTCGGTTCTCAAATGGATGAGATGATATGAGATATATGAGTCTATGAGCAATGGCACATGCCTCCTGCACTACCAGGAGATGGCTTGAGGATGCCAGGACTCGACAGAGCACAAGCCAAGAAGGACAGTGCAGATGCCAATGTCGCCACAAGTCCCAGGACACTATGCAGCCTTGGCAAGGCAAGATGAAACAAGGGATTTAAATTTGGACCCATCTTGCCTTCCGTGGCCATAGTGCAGCTTGCTGAGGCAGGAACAAACTGCCCTTGGTGCGGTTGTACCTTGGCAGGCAGTGCTATCACGTTTTCGAGAAAAAGAGAAGTAGAAGCACCATGATATGGAGAACAGCCGACAAATTGCAGCGACTACCGTCAAGGGCACAGAGTCAAAAGTACTGCACAACAACTACTTACAGTGGTACATTATGTGAGAGGTCACAGGCTGTCACAGGTATCTGTAGTGTTTCAGTATGTTTCAGTCCTCTTCGGCCAAGCTGCGAAGTGAAAGAAGAGCCAATCGCCAAAATGACCTGCAAACTGCCACGGGAGCGTTGCACCTCCACGCTCGTCCACCCTTAATCCTTGACATGTTCAATACTTGCTCTTGAACTAAGATGTCCCTGGTCCACAACCAGTCCATAATTCTGCCAAAGAGCTCCCAGCATGACGAAGGAACAACACCAGTGGGGCCCAACAAACACAGTTCTGCCAAAACAGCGCAGAATCCGGATGCGGCCAATCTTTGCCTTGGCTGTGACTGCGGCATCTAATCGGGGACGTTGTTAAGAAGAGGAAACGTGAAGACCGTGATCAAGTTCCAGCGGAGAACTTGCATGTCCATCTGGGGTAATTTTCTGATTGCTTCCCATTCGGCAAGCACTGTCCGCTCACGTTCCATTTTCTCTTCGGTTTCTTTCCCCTTTGGGCCCAAGTTTTACTTTTACACACCTGCCGATTATCTCTGTGTTGGTATTGTGTCACAGTATATCCGTATACGTGTAGGTTTGCTATCGTGTCATATCGTGTTTTCATTGGTTGCATTTCGGGTCAGAGTGCCTGGACGTCTCAAGTCGTGCCTGGCCACTGGTGCTTCCTCTGTGACCTCGAAAGGCAACGGTGTCAAGGGCACAGCCTTGGCTTTCTGCAGCATTTCCGCCTTCGGCAATGCTGGGGGACTGCAAGGATTCGTGCACCCATTCCCATCTTTTTGCTTCAGAGCTCGCAAAAGTGCTTAAAAAGTCTTGGAAAACATGCTGAGAAAACACTGGAGACCACCTGTGCTGCCTCCTCATCAAGCACATCTTCGCCTGACAAGTCATGCAAGGTGCATGTGACCATGGACAAGCGCCAGGGGACTTTCAAAGCATTTTGATAAAACATGATAAAACCCCCGAAAAAACTATCAAATATATTCAAATATTACTAGCAGTAGCAAATTATCAGGGAGTGACCTGGAATGGCCTGGATGGTACCGTGGTATGGCGGCTCAAATGCCCTAGAATCCCCTCTGCCTCCATTGGTCATCCCATCAGCTGGACCAGTTCCAAACATTGCTGGATTTGGGTCTACCGGCATGGTGTCAGACTTGGCTCGAGAAACTAGCGTCTGCAGAGGTCAAATATATGCAAACTCCATGTAAATCCAACCACTTGCTTCAAAATGGCACCCAACTCTCCCACATGAATATCATGAATCAGCAGAATGCAAAGTGCGTCAGGCCAACAGAATGCAACTTGCAGCTGTGGAATTCGTAGGTATAGGATGACGATCACATGCTTGCGCATGCTTTGTACCAAATTGAGGCCCCTGACACTTTGCAACCAGCCACCTGCATGTCGGCAGCCTCAACACCACAGGCCGTAAAAAAATCATCAAAAATCAAATTCCATCCGAAGTTTTCTTTCCAGAGAGCTTTGAGGCTTTGAATGGCTTTGATGCTGTCACCCCACAAGAAGCCCAAGAAAAAAAGGTGCAAACACAAGGATGGTGCTTCATTCACTTCATTAACTGTCCCATATGATCGCATCACTCCCGTCAGAGGCCAGAGGCCCGCGCCTTTGGATGCCGCGACATGAGCTCTTTCGCCAAGAGGCAGGAAGCTGTCCAGCGGATGAGGTTGGGTTTGTAGGTACGGACGGTCCAGGCCCCCCCCCCTTACAGAGCCAATGGAAACCTCTGCAGTGGCTACTTGCACAACCCCTTGGATTCCAAGCCATGATTTTTATGTGAGGTGTGAGTGAAACCTTCTCTGTAAGTCCCGGCCACTCGAACATCACATGTCTTACATTTATCAATTTACATCTGACATTTGCAACACATCAGAAATCAGAAGGGCTGTGGATTTGCAAACTGTGCCGGGCAAATCCAACCATCTCCTGGCACATCTCACCAACCCAACCAACCTGTCGCGCCACAGTCCGCAGTGGCAGGTGCCAACGCTGCCAGAGCTCCGCAGAAGCGTTCGGCAAGGCCCACCTGGTCCAGGCCCAAGGTTCGAGCACATAATGATATGTTATATTATTTTATCTTATATCCTATATCAATCTATATCATATCATATTATATCCGATTATTTAAATTGAATCAGATAAGAGACTGATAGAGGTATTAAACTAATTCAACTAACTTAAACTATATAAATTATCCAAATCCCTTGGGAACAGGAATGAATGGGCCCAAAAATTGCATAGAAGCGACAGCCTTTGGTCAACAGAAGCATTTTTGTATATAACTGGCTTCTCTTTCAATCGCGATCTCAAGGAATTCATTTTCGTAGTTGGGAGCAAAGTTGACCAGGAGATAGAAGCGGCTCGGCAAAATCCAAAATCACCCAGACCTCTGTGTCAAAGGCTACTGCAGATTTGGCAAACTCAGGGCACCTTAAAATTTGTGCAGTTATCAGAAGGTTTGAGTTGAATTCGTAGCTAGAAGGCCTGACAAATGAAACCTACTATATAGAGCTGATGGAAACAATTTGAATATCTTTCTGAACGCACTGCACCAAACTCTGGCCGCAACTCTGCTGGAGTTTGCAACTCCTTGGTGGCACAAAGATCAGAAACATGTTTGACAAAGCCATTCACTTTCCATATGTCAGCAACCTCGGATCTGACGTCAAAAGTTGAGAAATCCAAACTGTCACCGTGCCACCTTCGGCCACCTTTGCTGGACAAACTCAGGGCGCATCAAGCATGACACTGGACTCTGGCTGGTATTTCAGCAAGCGCTCCTGAATTCATCACAACTCACAGTAGGATACAGTAGGAAGAGGAAAAGTCATTAACTGTGACCAACAAAAAAATAAGTCATCAAATGTCATCAACAAACCTGACTGTTGGAACATGTTGGAACATGTTGGAACATGTTGGAACGATGACCTCCCTGAGTTGCAAACAATCACAGGTTCTATCACCACAGCTGTAGTGAAGGTCTCCACTTTGAACCTGACTAGCTGCAGGCGGTTTCAGATTCGCTGGAAAGTCATGGCACCGGACAATCAAGGCAGAAGCACAGCAGTGATTTTGCTAAGCCATGCGCGTATGTAAAGGCCCAACACCTCCTTATGAGGCAATGGACCGACTGGTAACGTTACCATACGTTACCCAGTTCATCCATGTTCATCCTAGCTCCTATAATTTCCTCCAGATACCTCCAGTGTCTTAGGAGAACATGCAGCCTGGTGGGGCAAACAACCAGCTGCATCATTCTTGTAATCAGCAGGGTGGGTGGAAAAAGAATGAATAGAAAATCACAAGTTCCCGACGTTGCTGATATTTGCTGCATGTTTTGCTGCTGCTCAGGTTGCAACCGTTGGACTTTGGCCGGGTCCGCGCGACTAGGGCATCCTTTGTCCCATAAGCCTGCAGAAAGGATTAGAATCCATCGGATCCATTGGGTCTGGATGGATCTGGGTGAAGCTTTCGCAGCATGGAGCCTCCCGGTAAGGGGCAACCAGCTGGACGTTGCGTCCAACTCCGGCCAAGCCAACTGCCTCAGATCTGAAGCTTTTCTGCATGCAAACCGGTCGACTCAGTTTAAATGTCATATCTCTCATCTTACCATGGCTTTACAGCTTTGCCAACTTTCCGCGGCAATCTAAACATCAATTGTATAGAATCTACAGTCCATGAATGTGTCTGCGGGTGATGCATTCAACTGTCGCTGTTTGAATCCAAGACCGATGTGTAGGCTCGGGGCCGCCACAGCACAAGCCGTACCTGAATTCCAGTGCATGTAAGTGTCCGCAGTGGATTTCTTGAGAGAATTTAAGGTACAATTACCTTACCACAAGAATGAATCTCCCCGAAGAAAGAGACGACCCAACATCAATCAAGCGTGATTGGATGATACTTCGCCTACGATCACACAAATCAGCGCCAAGAAGGACTGACAAACCATGACGAAAGGCTAGAATGGACAACCGCAGAATATACATGAATATACTACATCATTACTAGTTATTCTTACTAAACCAAAGAATAAAAACACTACGAAAGAGAAGAGAACAAACTCACGCAGCATCGACCCACCTGGCCAGCGCCGAATGCAATTCTGTAGCTCCGCAAAGGAGCTCATCTTAGCAAAATTGGGGCAAGGTTGGGGCCCCAGGGGCTGAAGACTGACTTATCATATTCATGACTTATCCATTTGCAGCTTGCAAGATGTTGCGAGATGCGACGAAGGGTTCAGACACATTGCTGTGAAAATCTGTGAACAAAATGCTTTAAACATATATTTAATCTATGAAATGATTGAAATGTATGTTGTTCGGATGACATGCACTGGTAATCTGGGAATCCGCCGGGCGATGGCCCAAATCCCATCAGGCAACAACGAAAGGCTCAAAATATTTCAACTTCAAAGTCTTTGGTGCCATGAGAATTGGATGAGGCAGGAGGCTGTGCAGAGTTTGGCAACCGCACGGTAGTTGTTTGCAGCCGCAATTGCAGGAGACGCTCGTTGTTGGCATCCTCAAGGGCACAAGCGAGATTCCGTTTCCAGATGTTTCCAGAGTCAAAGCTCCAACAACTCCAACACCAGCCACTGCCAATAAGGGCATGGCTAAATGACATGCTCTTCAACATGATGGGGCAGGAATGAACAAGTTGATTCACACGCGTCCCATTTGCTGTCATCCTTTCTGAGACACTAACAGACATACTTGGCATTACTTCATCCCCGCCTTCACTTTCAATGCCGGCTCTGCATTCAATGCATGCACCAGTTTGCGCGGCTGAAGCTCAGGCCCACAACGTGCCTGGAGAAGTGGAGCACGCAAGAAAACAAGTTGATACACTGTGATGAGCCGCCCGTTGTTTCCATCAATTTCGACAAATGTGTTCCTGTTCGTGTCCGCATTCCTTTATTGCTGTCTGGTAACCGGTGCCACAATTCACAATTGCCATGTACTTACTGTACAATGGATTTTACTAGAAGGTTCCTTGCATAGAAAAAGCAACAGGGCGATGGGAGGCCACACAAACAAAGTGCCACCCTTTTTCCCTCGCCACGTTTCAAAGTGCCGAAGGCAGGCCGATAGCGGATCAGCGATGTATCCATGAGATTCAGTCTGTCGGAAGCGCCCTCCAACAAAGATGAAGCAACACAATCTGATGACCATTGGTAAACACATGGGCGAGCCTGTTCCCCCATACCTTTCCAAAAGCATAGCCTACTGTGCATATATGTACATGTTCAACTACACAGCTAAGGTAGAACTTAACCAATCTGATCAAAACACACGAAGATCTGTTGAAACCCGATAAAACTCTGAAGGGTCGGCAGGAAACATATGGAGATTGCAAAATATCCGGGTCAAGCCATGTATATATATATAGTTATAAATATATATAGTTACATATAATTATATATAGAGTTACAATGAGTTACATATAATTATATATAGTTATAAAAATAATACATATATACATATATATATATATACACTATACATACAATAGACATGTCATGACATTTCATGACATTTCAATGACTCCTTTGGGCACTGTGAAAATCACTGGTGGGATCACGACGGTCAGCTGGGAGCTCATGCACTGCTAGGGAAAACTGCCATGACAGGAGCTCACCAGCAGGGAAGGACCGCCACCTGCAAGTCCAAGAAACAGGCGTTCATGCCTTTGAGTCGACCTGGGACCTTGACAGCTAACCAGCGATCCTTTTCCAGGCCCCAAATTGATGGTAACAGGATGGTAGACTTTAGAAGTAGTTGAGTCTCAAGTGAGCACACTTCGATGAATTGTTCAAACATATGCAATAGCCTACACGATTCTGCGCAATATCGAGACATCCGTCCTTATGGCCAAGTATTTTTTTTGAATCAAAAAATGGACTTATCTTAATGATTTAAAAGATTTTAAAAGCATAACAAACATCCTGCTGAAGGGCTTGGACCTTTGGGCTGCCAAACTTCGTGGCGCAATAGGTGCCACTGGGAGCTTCATGGAGGGGATGGGACAAGTTTCCCGCCATTGCGAAGCTGATAGGGCTCTCATTCCCAAGGCTTTTGTACAAGTTATTGAGGAGCAAACAGAGAAATGCTCATGTCAACACATGTCAACACTCATTCTATCAGGATATTTTGCTGGTCCGGGCTCAAATACTCATATTCCATAGGCATTACAAACAAAAGAAAAACAATAGGTACGTGCATTCAGAAAACGATACAGAACGTCTGTTTGAATACGCTATACACTTCACTGCCTTAGGCGCCACAAAGTAGGATAACTGGTTCAAGAAATGACATCGTGCGGCAGTTATGTGGGCTGCACTTGGGGACCCATGAAGCCAATTGAACGTGGCAACGAGTTTTGAAAGCCGATGTCAAATCGGTGTCATGGATCCGGGAAGTCCGTGTGAAATCTGCAGCCTATGTCGGCTCACATGACACAACGATACACAAAACAGCGCCGATGTGCGACGAAGACTAACTCCAACATAGGGTAGAATTCATCGAATGCAAAGATCGGAGGCTATGGTGGTTTGTGATGTTTGTGGGAATGCTGCCAAACCTCACCTATTCAAGAGATTTCAAGAGGACATGACATGACCGACCCTGGGAAGTGTCTCAAAGGCTTGGGCATGCATGTCTGCAATGCATGTCTGCATGCCTGTTTCTTGTTTATCTTGTTTGGGAGAAGCGAGGAGTCACTGACATACAATGTACGCAATCAGATTGATGCATCCGGTGGCTCACACTAAATCCTTAACATTCGTCAAATGACTGTCAACAATAATTAAATACAGCATTTTCTTGTCAGAAGTCTTGACTCTTGACATTTCTTGTCTAGAAAATGTAAATAAATGTAAAACAGAAGGTCGTCATCCATCTGATCATCTACATCAACAGCAACGCAGGCTTGGCTGCTTGGCTGCTTGCCATTTCCCCATAAAATATGGGACAAGGATTTCCCGGAACCACAGATTGCTGAAACTATGAGATACTGATGACGCATAGCACCCAAGGCCCTGCGGTGGGAAAACATGACACCTGTATATGAACATATATGAACATTGCTTGTAGATGCTTGCAGGATTTGCTCATGACGGCAGGATACTGCAGGGGGGGCCAAGAGCTGACCATCAGCCTTTACAAACCAATTATATTTTGCAGGGGCGGGACATTGATCTTCGCCTTGACTGCCGGAGACAGGAGAGAGATTCACTCCTTGTTCCGAATTTCAGGAGTTATATGATGTTATATATATGTAGTTCAGTTTGGCCTGAATTCACAAACTAAGATCGTGCCAATGCCGACAAGAGAAACTGGAGTCCTGACCTTGCTTCGCCCCTGCAATTCTCGTTGAAACGGCTTACAGGACAAAGATATGCAAAGAGGCCAAGGTTGACCTTGTACTTTCAAACTTGGCCTGGGAAGCCTCCGCTCTCTTTCGAAAGCTCTAGCGGTCTAGGTCTTGGCTTCTTGACTGATGGGTGTTCAGAAGCGGAAGGCTTCGGGGAGACAAAACTGCACCGAGCGCTGTATGATCACAGTTGCCAAATGCATGGCACAAGCGCAGGGCATGAGGGCAACCGCTTAAACCCACCGCATACAATCAGTGGCTACTTGTAGGAGGAATATAATACACAATCTCTTACAGTATATTTGCAGCAGCAACTTCCAACACTGGGACTTATGCGAATGACTCCCCCAAGCTACTTGTATGATCTATATGAATCTATATGATCTATTGATATCTATTGTGATTGTATGATCTTTTATCACGGCGCTGATTCAAGGTGCCTCCAATTTATCGATTTCACTGCCGTTTGGCTCTCCTTGGATCACACTCCATGAGCTCAAGCCGGCAAATGCACCAATTAAAACCCATGTTTTGATGCTCTTTGTCCATGCTGGTCCATGCTCCATCACTTTCCCCATTCAGGACGAGGTGCAAAGTCAAGTTGTAGATAGCGCTAGGCCAGAGCAAACTAAAAGCAAGGAGACGCATTTTACGGGCACCTGGCAGTGGCAGCGGATACGATTCATTGACTTTTTGCAGTACAGAAAGGAAAAGAATGAGCAATAGACACTAAAACGCTGAACTCTGCATTGTTTGCACAAGCAAACGCAAGATTGCATGGCAAAATGATGCAAACCTCGTTTTCGCGGTTGGCATAACAAATGATGCCAACAGAAATGAACAATCCATGGGTTTTCACTTTCATTACGATGCATCCACTGACGTTATTAGATAAATTACTTACGTGGTCTTTGTAGTGTCAGCCTTGGCTTCGACATTGAAGCAGCAACTGGAGTACGACATGCCAATGAGAGCAAGGAGCAGCAACGAGTACATTCGCTTCCAGCTCTGTATATTCTACGAGAAGATGTCGGCTTCACGGGTTTGGCCGTGCCTATCGGAATATTCCAGCTACATGTCACAGTGTCAATTTGACATTAATTTGAGTTGTCCTGAGTTTTGGTTCTGAATCTTTCAAGTGTAAGGGGCCACAGTTCTCCGTTTTCAAATCTTGTTTACAAGTGGGTTCAACTGGCCGCATTAATTTCAACTTCTCTGGAACCCAGGTCCGCAGTCTAGATTTGTTCACTGCTGCTGCTCACATTGGTGTCATGAGCAGTTCAGAATATCGTTTCCCGAAAGCGCTCGTAAAAGCCATTCTGATGCAGGCCCGCCTCTTGTTCTTTACATATTATAAGGTGTATGATCTATGGAGAAGTACCATGATTGGAAGGGTGGATGGGGGAGGCCCCCGTACTGTAAATCGGAAAAGCTAAAGAAACGCATCCAAAAAGCAAACTATAACAAACTAGAGGCACAAGCTTTCAAAGTAGTGACAACAAAGCTACGATTGAAATGGGCAACTAATCATTGTAGCATATTATAGCACAGTCTAGCCCCGAGCCAGCGCAAAATCTCCAAAGAATTTTCAATTTCTGACAATTTGTTTCAAATCACAGTTTGGTGGAAAGGTGGTATTGGCTTCTGTTTAGTTTCCTAGCTTCAGTTGAAAAGACTTAGAGCAAATTCAATCGCGACACATGATTGTTGTGTTGGAGCGTTGTGCCACTTCAAGTCTGAAATACATTGACATACATTCTCTTTGCAGTCTTTGCCTACCGTCGCGTGACACTTCTCACCTGTGCATCTGAGGAAAGACGCAAGATAAAAGGAAGCGGAAAAGGACCGGAGAGTAAGCGGATAACGGGATAACCTGCTCTATAATTCTAAACTCAAGACACCTAACGCAAACCTAAAAATCCAGCACTGCCTTGCTGATCATGCTTCTGGTGGGGCCCATCAGTAAAATCATCACTAAAAAACAAGGGCCTAAACTATATATTTGCCACGAAGACAAGAGAACATATCAATCACATCCTACTATTTTTTTGACATCCCATCATATGCGGTCTATAATTAATCACAAATGACCGCATTCCTCGCTGACCCATGCTCTCCTGCTGGCAATGAAGCCCACATGTTCAACTCGCTTTTGGTGGGTGACCAGCTTCCCCGTCGCATGGTATTTCCATTCAATAGTTGGCTCTTTTTGTTGGCTGCTGCCCGCCTCTTTGCCTGTTTATTCACGTCAATGACGTACACCGTACAAGCGGACAACAGAGATGAAACAGCTCAAAAAGACAACGAGTCACTAATGTCATTTAATAGTCACTACCAATTTGAGCCTTCTGAACTTTTGAATTATTTTTTCGAGGTGTTTAATCTTCGACCTTTCAATATCTGTCAATGGAATCCAGACCCCAACCACACTGATGCCCGTAAAGAGACACCTGCTCCACTCCACGGCCAAGACCAAGCAGCCGATGTGAGATCACTGCCTTGGCAGCCGGTGCAATAGGCAGCCAGTGGGATGATGTGGGATATCAATGGATATCATGCGATATCCAACCAGCACTCCAGTGATCTCCACTTTGTCAAGTTGCAAAAAGCAAATTGAAGAGCTGCTGCAATCCACCTAGCACAAGCAGCACTTCCTGTGAATGTGAGACATGTGACATGCAAGTCACACATATAATATATATATATATAATTATATATTATATAGTAACATACATGTTCGGTCATCCCGCAGGAAATGAAATCCCGCGCAAAAATTGCACTGAACGAAGTTGTTTCTGTACTTCCACTAGAAGTGCACAACGGCTCAAGAATAGGAGTGCTTGCACCAGGATTCTTATGAGGTCCATCCACTGTTACATCCACGAACCCACACCAGAAGACAATCTCTCCCGCGAAACAAGCCTTCAACTGCATTGACAACCGAAGGCTCATAGAAGCCAGAATACGAAAAGGTGACCAAGCAAACTCCTGTCCTTGCATGATCTTGCATGACTAGTTCAACAAGCACTCTGATGAACTAAGCAAACTCCTTTGACATGCCAGTGTTTGACCAAGCATTGCCACTGCCACCCAGCATCATTGACAGGCATTCCCCCAGAAAGGCGGTGGCAAAAAATCGCCGCTTCACCTGTTGAAGAAAAAATAGAGTATATCGGTATATCATGTATATGCCTACGGCAGGAAAACCGTACGTGCATTTTGCTTCCTTTTTGAGTATTGCTCTTTGTCTTGGGGTTGGGGTGGGGTGGGGTGGGGGGGCATGTTAACGTTCCTTGTACTTCGTACATGATATATTGCCATGTTGCTACGATCTCTAGGATCTTTTACTACGTTACGTGTTGCTACGCTGCTGAGATCTCTAGGTGTGGGTTGGGGTCGGGGTGGGGTGGGGTGGGGGGGCATGTTAACGTTCCTCGTACTTCGTACAGGATATATTGCCATGTTAGTGTGGGTTGGGGTTGGGGTGGGGTGAGGTGGGGGGGCATGTTAACGTTCCTCAAATTTTCTACAGGATATATTGCGATGTTGCTAAGATCTCTGGGATCGTTTACTACGTGACATGTTGCTACGCTGCTAAGATCTCTGGGATCGTTTACTACGTGACATGTTGCTACGCTGCTGAGATCCTTGGGACTTTCTTACTACGTTACAGGTTGTTACGCTGCTGAGATCTCTGGGATCGTTTACTACGTGACATGTTGCTACGCTGCTGAGATCCTTGGGGTCGTTTACTACGTGACATGTTGCTACGCTGCTGAGATCTCTGGGATCGTTTACTACGTGACATGTTGCTACGCTGCTAAGATCTCTGGGATCGTTTACTACGTTACGTGTTGCTACGCTGTTGAGATCCTTGGGACCTTCTTACTACGTTACAGGTTGCTACGCTGCTGAGATCTCTGGGATCGTTTACTACGTGACATGTTGCTACGCTGCTGAGATCCTTGGGATCGTTTACTACGTGACATGTTGCTACGCTGCTGAGATCTCTGGGATCGTTTACTACGTGACATGTTGCTACAGAAGAGTGTGAAAAAATCTGCGCATCCACGTCTGATGCACATGATGTTTACCTGGATTTGTTAAAAATCAATAGATTTTGCATCCACTTTTTTTAACCCCAATTCAGTTATCCAAACTGATCGGAAGAGCATTTTATATTGTAAATTACAGGTGATTGTGACTCTCCTGGAAGCAACCAATGAAAACGCTCGCGCGGTTTCCCTTCCGCCGGGATGTATGTAATGTATGTAATGTATGTAATGCCTACCCCGGATTAATAAACCCCCCCCCTATAGGTCAACTAGGTCAACAAGGTCCAGTGAGGAGGTCCAAAAACCGAACCCCCCAAATAATGTGACCATTCATTCATCCATAAACAATTATTATAAGATTCCTATGGGAAAAGATTGGAAAACCTATGGTAAACAATCAAATTCCTATGGGGAAACATGAGAAAATTAATGATAAACCATCAGATTCCTATGAGAAAAGGTAAGAAAACTTATGATAAACCATCAGATTCCTATGAGAAAAGATGAGAAAACCTATGATAAACCATCAGATTCCTATGAGAAAAGATGAGAAAACCTATGATAAACCATCAGATTCCTATGAGAAAAGATGAGAAAACCTATGATAAACCATATCAGATTCCTATGAGAAAAGATGAGAAAACCTATGATAAACCATCAGATTCCTATGAGAAAAGATGAGAAAACCTATGATAAACCATCAGATTCCTATGGGAAAAGATGAGAAAACCTATGATAAACCATCAGATTCCTATGAGAAAAGATGAGAAAATCTATGATAAACCATCAGATTCCTATGAGAAAAGATGAGAAAACCTATGGTAAACCATCAGATTCCGATGAGAAAAGACCTATGGTAAACAATCAGATTCCTATGAGAAAAGATGAGAAAACCTATCGTAAACCATGGGATTCCCATGAGAAAAGATGAGGAAACATATGTAATACCATCAGATTCCTATGAGAAAAGATAAGAAAACCTATGGTAAAGCATCAAATTCCTATGGAAAGATTTGAAAATTAGTGGTAAACCATCAAATTCCTATGAGAAAAGATGAGAAAACCTATGGTAAACCATCAGATTCCTATAAGAAAAGATGAGAAAACCTATGGTAAACCATGGGATTCCCATGAGAAAAGATGAGGAAACATATGTAATACCATCAGATTCCTATGAGAAAAGATAAGAGAACCTATGGTAAAGCATCAAATTCCTATGGAGATTTGAAAATTAGTGGTAAACCATCAAATTCCTATAAGAAAAGATGAGAAAACCTATGGTAAACCATCAGATTCCTATGAGAAAAGAGGAGAAAACCTATGGTAAACCATCAGATTCCTATGAGGGAACGTGAGGAAACCACGCAAAAACCATCAGATTCCTATGGGAAAAGGTTAGACAACTAGTAGAAAACTATCAGGTTCCTTTGGAGAAAAAAGAAAACCCTTGGTAAACCATAAGGTTCCTATGGAGAAAGAATAGATATTAAATGGTAAACCATCAGAATCCCATGAGGGAATGACAGAGAGTCAGTCACCTCTTCCCAACATGATGAGCCAACCCACAAAAAACCTCTGAAACCAATGTGTTTGGCAATAGCGCGGCTTCGACCTAATGAAAGCACAGCTCTTGCAATGAAAGAGAGTCACCTCTTCCCAACATGATGAGCCAACCTGCAAAAAACCTCTGAAACCAGTGTGTTTGGCAATAGTGCGGCTTCGAGTTAGTGAAAGCACAGCTCTTGCAATGAAAGAGGGCCACCTCTTCCCAACATGATGAGCCAACCCACAAACAACCTCTGAAACCAGTGTGTTTGGCAATAGCGTGGCTTCGACCTAATGAAAGCACAGTTCTTGCAATGAAAGAGAGTCACCTCTTCCCAACATGATGAGCCAACCCACAAAAACCTCTGAAACCAGTGTGTTTGGCATTAGCGCGGCTTCGACCTAATGCAAGCACAGCACTTGCAATGAAAGAGAGTCACCTCTGCCCAGCATAATGAGCCAACCCAAAAAAAACCTCTGAAACCAGTGTGCTGGCAATAGTGCGGCTTCGACGTACGGAAAGCACAACTCTGGCAATGAAAGAAAGCCACCGTGAAGTAATTAGAGGCAATGTCCAGAAGCAGGCAAAGGTAGCTAACATAACAGCAAGACATTGGCAGAGAAAGACGCACAACACACAAGCATTCAAGCCAGCTGTGTGCCACCCCCGGGCTGCAAGACGCACCCTCCGGGAATCTAAGCTGCTGTGTGCCACCCCCGGGCTGCAA